GTTGATTATAAAAACTGATATTTAGCATAAGAGACATGGTATGTTTCATATATTTCAATAAAACCCTACTGGAATAATCTAGCTTAAACCAGCCTAGGCAGGGTTGGCTGGTTTTAGCTGGTTGACCAGCCTGGTTTTAGAGGGGTTTTGGCCATTTCCAGGCTGGTTTTAGCTGGTCAGGCTTGGAGATGAGCAGCTAAAACCAGCTTGATCAGTCTAGCCAGGCTGGGAGCCCAGCCAAAACAAGCTATTACCAGCTGAAACCAGGCTGGTCAAGCTGTTTTTTTCTGGATTTAGGCTGGTCATTTTCCAGCCTGACCAACTAAGGCCAGGCTGGAAATGAATGGAAACCAGCCTGGGAATGGCCAAACCCCCTCTAAAACCAGGCTGGACAACCAGCTAAATCCAGCCAACCAGCCTAGGCTGGTTTAAGCTAGATTATTCCAGTAGGGTTTTATTGAAATATGTTATGTTATAGGCTCCATTTAGTTATGAATATGCATACCGTGAAGATGGTGGTCTTATTAATATTGCTTCACAATGCCTTAACATTTTTGATGTCTATAAAGTTGTTAATATTAAAATGAAAATAGGCAATACTTTATATCATGTTTTCAGTTTATTCTTAAAGGGTCACGAAACACCAAAACACATTTTTTGAGCTGTTGACAGTAGTATATGTGTCCCACACTGCTAAAAACACTTTTAGGACACCTATATTTCACTAAAAAGTGTAAATTGGTTGTTTTTGCGTTATTTTAAGCAAATTCCTACTTCCGGTTTAAACGAATTTTTGAAGATGCGTCACGGTCATGAGATAATAGCGTGTATTCCAGCGTGCAGACTGGACGTCTGTGCCAGAGTGTGTCTTATTACGTCTTACAGTGTGATGCATTAATGCATGAGTAAAGCTTGGTTCAAACCAATCAGCGTGCTCTATTGTGCAACGTGCGGTATCAAACATTGCATGAAAAATACACGCTTAGAGCAGTTCCTCGAATCAAATATTTCGTTTGTCGTGAGGGGCATGAATGAATTCCCTGAATGAAAGAGCCAAACTGCAGTTAAAGTCCACCATTTAATAATTTGGCAAATAATTCGACTACAGATGTCCATGTAGGTTAAACACTTTCACTTTGTCCACTGTGTTTGTGTATTTTGACTCTAAAACTCAGCGCGTGCCCAAATAGACACTCCTACACCATCCCTCTTTTCTTCCTTCGACACTCCCCCCTAAACAAAGCTGGACACGCCCAAATTTCTGACCTTTTCCAAAGTAGAGGTGTGAATACACCCTGCTGAAACGAGGGGGTTTCATGGCCCTTTAAAAATATAAAAAAACTATGTATCAGGGTGATGTGAATGAGGTTATGGAGTACACTGTTCCCTTTGAGGGAACAGTGTCCTCAGTAGTTTGTTTTCCATATTAAACTTGCAAAGTCATATATATTTAAATGTTACACTTTTCGTTGTTGGCTAAAACTCAGATGTGTGTGTGTTGTGGTTAATGAGCAGAGAGAGCTATTTGTTTTGTAGGTCACATGGTCACTTGACTCTTTAAGCTTTGATGAACAAAGTCATCAAATGATGCACAAATAGCATGCTGAATGACTAACAAAGTTCTGTTCCCTCTTTGTTAACACGAGCAGCCGCATTATATGGCGGAAACGCATCTATGTATATCCATAACACCTGAGCAAAGTGTTCATTATTGCGAAAAGCCGTCTGTATGCCACTGATCTGTGATGTTCTACATCTAGCTACATCTATTTATGTCCTTGATAAATACTTCCTTTAATGTGGACTTAAATTAATTATTAAACCCCTGGGGTTGTCAAACGTATATCAGCAGATCAAGTCATCAAATAGTCGTTTTTGATTGTATTTATAAGACAAACACAGGTTTGAACACTCAAAAGGGTCTATTTTTATTTGTGTATATTTCATGCCAGTAGCCAGGGGCCCCACGGTCAAAAGGCCCAGAATTTGTCCTTTTAATTATTTGATGTAATTTAATATTATATAGTTAATATAATATATTTAAATTTAATATATATTGTAATAAAGTGTAATTTTAAATAACTATTGCCAGTAATTAGAATCCCATTGAGCCTCAAAGCCACAATAATGTGAGACATTAGCCCCTTTCACACAGTGATACCGGTAAATATCTGGAAAATTTCCGGAACGACTTTACCGGTATATTCAAAAAAGCGCTGTTCACACAGGCGAGGACGATACAGAAATTTGCCGGAAAAGAGCATTCACACATCCATTCCAAAATACCGGTAAATTCTGACATCATTCACCACAAGTGAGCTTTAAACGGCTGCGCTTGTGTTTGTAAACATTTGACTAAATTACAAACTCTGTGGATGATCAATATTGTGAACAACTTTCGCAGGATCACTTTCGCATGTCGAGATGTTCATAATATGTGCGTGTGCAGGCGCTCACAGGCTGTTTTACAGGCACACGCAAAGCTTGAAGGTAAACAAACAGCTGCTTATCATAAGCATCTCATCGATGATTATTAACAGTTGGCATTAAGAAGAACATATAAACGTGATCTGACTAACTTCTAGCAGCTAAATGTGTCTGGAAAAATATTCAAAGGCTTTTATTCTCACAAACCGCGCGGACGTAAATGCGTCTGACTGTTGTGATTGGCTAAAGCAGACGTCTCACGTCAGGACGTTCTAGACGTGCACGCGCTTATTACGGCAATCTTCCTTCTGCATTCACACAGCGCAGCATTCCGGCAAATTACCGGTAATGTTACAACTTCTCTTTCCGGATAATAGCCAGAACGAATTTACCGGTATTTTCAAAAAGGACCTGTTCACACACACACACCTTTCCGGAAAATTGCCAGCAATTTTCCGGAAAGGTCTGTATGTGTGAAAGGGGCTAGTATGTGAGAGGTAGTGCTGTTCCCTCACAGCAAAAAGGTCGCTGGTTCGAGCCTCGGCTGGCTCAGTTGGCATTTCTGTGTGGAGTTTGCATGTTCTCCCTGCGTTCGCGTGGGCTTCCTCCGGGTGCTCTAGTTTTCCCCACAGTCCAAACATCTGGTACAGGTGAATTGAGTAGGCTAAATTGTCCGTAGTGTGAATGAGTGTGTGTCGATGTTTCCCAGAGATGGGTTGCGGCTGGAAGAGCATCCGCTGCATAAAACGTGCTGGATAAGTTGGCGGTTCATTCCGCTGTGGCGACCCCGGAATAATAAAGGGAGTAAGCCGAAAAGAAAATCAATGAATAATAAATGATTGATAGTGCATTCACTTATTATTAAGTGTTACAAATATATTCAGTAGTTCAAAATGTTAACTATATCAGCTAAAATGTATTTAACACCGT